TCACAGTCTCAGTGGGACTCCTCACAACCATAGGTATATATGTGATCGCAGGGCAATCCAATCCCAAATCTAAGTCACAGAACATACCTGCAATCGCATCAAAGAATCAAACGACAGTCCACGCACTATACGGAGTCAACCCCAACCACCCTCTGCACTCATACCCCTCGTTTTAGCCATGCAAACCCCAAACCTCTTGTCCAACCAACCATAATTAAAATACTCAGTACCTTTGTCAAATGACCATTCAATAAAAGTCCGGGTGAAAACCTTAATAAAACAATAAGATCACCAGGGCTAAAGCCTTTTAGGTTGAGTGTGGAGTGAGGGTTGGAATTGAGTCGTAGACCTACGAATTGGGAACCGACCTGTTATCTGTGATAACAGAAGATGATCCTTGTAAGATCAAGCTGAAACTAGTCCAAATCCTGAATCAAACGGTCTAGAGGACCTGTAACACAAGACAGACCAATCCCCATGTTAAACCTATAAGTCCATGGAGAGTAATCCCCATGTCACGATCTCACTCAAATCATCCTAATTGACTAAGCCTGAACCTACTGCTAAGCAGTGCCCAAAGCAAAGGTAAACTCTGGCATAATCTCCCCTATACAGAGTGGATCGCCAGAATCGTCACCTGTCAAAATATAATCTAATTCCTAAGAAGATTTCGGCAACGCTTCCCATAGGAAAAGTGTCCTTCCAGAATTTATATCATCCCGAATATAAAACCAGAAATAGTCTTTGACTTTCCAAAGTTCAATTTTGCCTAACTCCCTGAATTAGCAAAAATTTTGGCAACACTCCCTTTAGAAAAGGAGGCTTCTCTGATTTTTACTAAGTCATATATGAACTTTAGACAAGTTGAACTTTGAAAAGTTAAAATTTGACTAACTTCTTGGATTTGCAGAAATTTCGGCAGCGCTTCCCGTAGAGAAAGTAGTTTACCAAAATTTATACAAAGCCAAGTATAACAAAAGATCCTAGAAAATGTGAGAATAAATTTAAGTAAAATAAACTTAGCTCAGAAAATGCAGGAATTGGGACTAACTCTTATCGCTCTAGCACGTGGCGAGCCTCTAAAGCAACTACCTATCAAACTGAAACTCAGACCAAGTAGCAGCCTCACTCAGTCACATGCAGGCCAAACCACAAAGGTGAGTACTCTCGTCATCCCAATGTCAATTTAACAGACAATATTTCATAGTCTTTCAATGCTTTAACCCTTTATACCCTGCTTGCATAAGACGTAAAGTCAGGCCATCCAATCTTATGGAACATGCCTGACTCAGCAATTAAGTATACACGAACAGGTTGCACAACTACTTTTCTCTTCCTTTGGGCACACGACTAAGCCATTCATCTTAGAAACAATGCCTAGTCGCCCTGAACTGTTTAACATCCAAGTTATATATATATATATATGAATTTGGGTGTTCAAAAACTAAGCATAGGACTGAGTCATTCATCTTAGAAACAAAGTTCAGTCTGCCCAAAGTTACCTTCAATTATATTTTTAATTATACTCTCTTCGACTTTATGATAAGCTATAGTCAGGCCATCCAATCTTATGAAACCCTTTTCTCTATTCATCTTAGAAACAAAGCTTGGCCTTTTCAGAAAACCAGAATAAACACAGCAGTCAGGCCATCCAATCTTATGGAACCATGCCTGACCCTATAACACCCTTCCAATCACAAACAATACCACCTTTCTCCCAACCTTCCCCCTGATGCAACCCCTTTGTTCACAATCTGCCTTCAGTCAAATAACAAAACTGAAACTGGATTTGCACAACCATTTTCTTATTTAGTCTGGATTGTGTCATGAAAGTTAAACTCAAATTCAGGTACAGGGTGCATGCGGTACACTCAGCCAAGTCGTAGAAAGAGATACAAATAAGGGTTCTAATCTGGGTATATAGAAGGAAAGCAATGATTACCTCTCAGTTCCCTGCCTCCAGAGCTCCTCCTCAGTTCCGGCAGACTGTGTGACCGGTTGAACGCGCAGAACACGTGTGCACGTTCAAACGCCCGCGTTCATACCCCCCAGGACCGCGTTCAATCGCGTTCAAACGCGTTGTGCGCGACGGAGCGCAAAAAAATTGAACGCGCACCCCCCCGCGTGGAGGACTATGGAAATTCAAAAAATGAAGTAAAAAAAAAAAACACACAAAATACCCCCCCTCAAACATATACACACAAAATTTACACACACACACATATGCACTCATTTTATTTTTTTTTGTTCAAGGCCCAATCAGGCTATCTGAAGGTCTTTTTTTTTTTACGGGGGGGTAAGGGAATCTCCCCCGCTCAGACGGCCAATACAGGCTATCTGAAGGGTCCTCGCAGCCTTGTCGCGCAGACCCCCCCACCCACCAACGTCAAGGCAGGCACTGAATATGGAGTGGAGCACGAGCTAGCCTAATATATACTGTATGTTCGAATTCAGGTCTGTGTTTCAGCAGTTATGGGTTGCTCACGTAGGTAGGCCGTAGTTAGTCTGTTCACGTGATTCTGAGGGTTTGGTTGCACTACTCACCAAATGTGCAAAACGAGAATGAATCTTCTGCAGAACATGGAATAATACGCCGCCATAGGTTTTGTCTTTTCCCGTTTTTCTTTTTTTCGTTTTTCTTTTTTCTCTTTTTTATTTTTCTCGTTTTTATTTTCTTATGAATACCTGGAGTGGCCCTAAGGGCCTCTAGTCATCATAGGCAGAAAAAACAAAACATATGACGACGTATTATTCCATGTTCTGCAGAAGATTCATTCTAGTTTTGCACATTTGGTGAGTAGTGCAACCAAGCCCTCAGAATCACGTGCTGGAGTGGTATCCCTCCGGCCCGGCAGTGAGGCCGGACCAGTTTTAGGCCGCCGGCCTGACCCTGGTCCGGTACCAGGTTATTCCGCTACTGGACCCAGGCCGGTATATCACTTCGGCCTAGGTCCAGGGCGACAGGTTCATTCATTCAGTTGTTCGTTCGTTCATTGGCCGGACTGGACCTTCACTCAGCTGCTGCTTC